ACATTTCAAATTTTCAGTTTCTTTTTGGAGACGATCAATGAGATAAGCTGAAAGGCCAAGATTGCAGCAATCTAGGGGACTTTAGGCTCGATATTTGAAAAACAATATTTCTAATTTATTTTTTATTTTTTATTCTTATCATTTTTGCAATAGGTGTAAGTCATAATTTAGAATTGCGTGTTTTTATTTGAATCAAGAAAACAATTTGCTCAGCAAGAAATCTGAATTTGCTTTTGAAAATAGAAAAAACGAATTTGCCGCACGACACGTCACACCCCTCGAAATGTATAGAAGATTGGTGGACCACTTGTGTTAAATGTGTAGCACTATTATGTAAATAGTTTATTCATTTAGTTTTATTGAGTGACACGAGAAAGAAAGGCCTAATTAAAATAAATCCCTAACTCCTTGAAAATCCTATCGTCAGACAAAACCTACACTGCAATATAAAACACTTACTTATGTTAATGAGAATTGAAAATCACGGAAACTTAAAACTACACTAAACTTGAAAAGTATAGCGATTTTGAAACTCAACATTCTTTTTTAGCGGATTTTTTATATTTCAATTAAAGTTTTCAGTTTAAGTGGCTTGAAAATGTTGGATGAAGTTTTTCTATCGCAATTGCTACATTGTTTGAGTCCAACAAAACGAACACTAAGGATTCTTTAGTTACTCTAACATATCCCTAGAAACAAGCTTGAAATATCATAGTCCTAATGAATACCTTTTGTTCTTTAAAAGATGCAAAAGTAAACAAAATTGATACTCCATTTAAATTGTTTTGAAAAGGCTTATAAAATGGGCTATAATAACCCTGTACGCTTCATAACCAAACAGTAACCAGAAAGAAGGTAAGCTAGCTATGTAAGATAACCCTCTTTTCTATTAAGCACGCTCTTGCTTTAACGCTACTAAACGTTTGTTAAAATGAGTCATTTTCTAAAACTTTTACTAAAATTTTCAGATCGATGAAGATGAGGTCTTCTTTCCTCGCCTTCCTTTCTTTCTTGTTGTTTGTGGAGATTCAAGGTAACCTGTTACATTAACTTAACTCACACGGCCTTTTTCTAAAATTCCCACCTAACTAGTATACCTCCTGGAAGTCCACGAAATATTATACACACATACTAATTCTAGAGTCAAAAACTCCATGAAAAACAATTAAGAGAGTCATTCATTTATATCAGTGTTTTAATTGGTCTTTTTTTCTGTCCTTTGATAGCAATAAGACACAAAGAACTACGAATTACTTATCCTGAGCGTTTGGATCGTCATCGCAGCAAAAGGGATCTAACAACAGCTATCCATGTAAGCAAGTAGGGTATAGTACTTAATCATAAGGACGAAGGGAGTTACAGCTCACCAAGAGAATATCAAGTACTTCATATTCTCTTGAGCTCACTGATTACTCTAAAATACACACACCCAAATACGTCCGAATACAACATCCTTTATTTTCTCCACTTCCTTTTTTCTCAATCTTATGTTATGCTTGTCTTAAAACCATTAACGCTAACACTGAAGTTCTTCATTCTTAATATCAAGTTTTTTAAGTTCGTTTTCTTTTTGTCCTTTATTCTTTATTTTACAATTACTAAAGAATATACTACATATATGTTTAAAGTTCTCTATTACCATTACAATACTATTATACTTCTCAAAAGAAGTTATTTCAGCCTTGTAGATATACAAATATGTTTTAATATCGGTGGTAAACATTACTAAGTCAAAGTAAAAAAGAAGAATGATACAATAAGAATAAATAAATAAAGAGAGAAAACAACAAAGAGAGAAAATAAGAGAGAGGATAAAAGACAGTTTCCTAATATAATGATCTTCTTTCTTTTATTTATTTATTTATTTATTTATTTATTTATTTTTTTTTTCCCCTTTGCTCCTTTGTTTCGATTTAGTTGGCAAGCTTAATCCTTGGTTGATTAAGGGAATTTCTAAATGAAACACATTAATTTCTTTTAATTACTTTTAATTTACTTTTTAACAAAAGTATCAGAGTTAGTTTATATTACTTTAAAACTCTTGTTCTAAAGTTACTTTTATTAGTAAAAAAAACTTATTTTTATCATAATCATTTTTTTCCATGCAAGCCTGTTCTTTCTCCTTCAGTCCATTCTTCGAAACAAGGTCATTCTCAAGAGAATGACACGTGGTCTAAAATGATAAAACATTACGCTCAGGTCTACTCGTAAATGGTCTTCACCATTTTCAGTACCCCCCCTCACTCCGCTTGAAATCGCCATACATATTTTGCCATTCATTAATTTTTGCCGTACTAATATTTTTAGCTGTATATGTGTTTGTTTCCAGGGTGATCATGAAGCTTCGGCAAGTTTCAAAATTAACAATTGGGTGCTAGAAACTAAACGTAACAAGTGAGTTGAGACGACTACTTTTTGTCTGATTAGATGGGCAATATTTCGTGTAAATGATCGGAAAATCTTTTGGGTTTAGTTTTATAATGATAATGATAGTCTAGGTGGAGTATGCACTCATATATTCTACTTATTGTCCGTTTTACAAATATGTTTCTCGATTCATTTTAGTGAATTGGCTCCAAAAACGGTGACGGTTCGTAGGTTTCTGGCTGACAACTCCGAGGTACTTCACGAGGTAAGTGATATTCATAGATATCTATGAAAAATTGCTTAGAGCAGTTCTTGAAAACACCGTTTATCAGATTAGAACCGACATCATCACTTGATGATGATGGTCATATTCTTGGTCGTGACGTAGTATGAGCGCTTCAATAGCGCAGCGCGCTCATTCTTTAAAATAGCTTAAAGATTCGGACAAACATTGCATTCTGTTTAACCGCTACGAGGATTATACGAACCGATTTTATTATTTTTACTTAAAGTTGCAATAATAACCCATGTAATCTAAGATCAACTGCGATCGGCTGCGAAAATTATCTGCTGAAAGTAAACTTGTAAGTTTGTTTGTCCGAATTTCGCCTTTGTCTTCGTTTTTATGACGTCACGGCTGCGCTGCGCTATTCAAAAGCGTAGCAAAAAAGGAGCCAAAAAAGTATTGGTGGAAAATGGTACATTGTCTCCCAGTATGATCGAGAAATCACTTCGCCCCTGCTTTAATTGTACCCCAAACCGTATGAATTATTTATGAGTCGATTTTGAAACTGATAGAATTGCAGATATATTTAGTCTCCCTGTTTYGTTTCTAAACCTTACATTAAACAGTTAATCAAATTGCCGTTGATTTCTTGATCTCTTGATCTTCTGTAGGACTCACCGGATAACTGTCACTACCAAGGATCTATTCGTGGCGTCCCTGATTCTACTGTCATTTTAAACACCTGTAATGGCCTTAGGTGAGCAACTAATTAAGGTTTATTCCCTTTTTTTTTGAAACAAAATACTTTCCAAATCAAAAGGTGAGAAACAGGGATAACTTAGCGGTGAGTGCTCGCCTCTCACCAATGCAACCGGAGTTTGAGTTCAGCCGAGTTCAGTTTCGAATTCGTATGTGAGCCGGTAGAGTTGTTTCAGTGTTGGTTCTCTCCTGTGCTTAGAACTATGGGTTTCTTAGAGTTCTCCGGTTTTCCTCGCTCTCCAAAAATCAACTCCTAAATTCCAAATCGATCATGGCCGGAACGAGGTCCACAGRTTTGTTAGCCACTGGCTATGAAGTGCTACTTGCTACCCTAATAAGAAACAGGACGGTTACATTTAACTTCGTTTAGTTTCTCTACTTCAAAAAATGTATTTTAATCGTTTTTTTCTTTTTTAATTTGCAGAGGAATCATTGATGATGGAAAGGACACTTTTCATATCGAACCTCATGATGACCAGAAGGTAAAATGATTTAACAAAGAAATTAACAATTCATGAGGAAAAAAACAATAGAAATCACGACCGTAAAGAGCTTTATAATTTTGTGCAGAATCATGTTCATTTGCATAAACGTTAACTTGGATTTTCTTGGATAGATTCACTTGAAAATCTTGAACATTTTATTGAAACACAAAGGAACTAACCTATACGTTTGTTAAGCAATACACAATCTACGCCTCGAGTTTATATATCGTATACAACACTGCCACTCATACTGTATGTATTTTCTTTCGTGCCGAAAAATTTAATTTACAGTACTATGGATCAGCTATGGATCAGCTTGGCTTGTTTTTTCTGGATCTTTCAAAGTTAATATATTATCCTCAATTTGAAAGTTTAAATTTTTCAGTGGAAAAATTAAAAGCTTAAAAAATTAAACGCGCGCGCGTGCTTTGTGAAGTGATAAACCACTCGGGGGTTGGCAGAACACAAGAGAAGTGTTAGGAGAAGCACGACGCGTAGCGGATTGCTTCTCGACACTTTTCAAGTGTTCTGCCAATCCCCAAGTGTACAACCAAGCATGTACAACCGTACAACCGTTAAACAAAGAAATAATACTAAAGGGAGGATACGTTTTCTGAAATGGGAAAACTGTGGATTAGGTCAATGACCTATATTGATCATTTATTCTATTCCAGAATACCGGAGCACACAAGCTCTATCTTGCAAATAACGACAAAGAGTTTGATGCAGCAAAGAACTGTGGTAAGTTTTTACGATTTATATTTCAATGATAATATTTGGTTATTTTTTTGTCAATAATATTATAGCACTAACTAATTAGTACTGGTTCATGGGTTTATTATGTTCAGCACGAGAATATTCTCTTGTGTTCAGTTAACTCGATCTGTTTTTAGCTTTACAGCCATAAGGTTTTGGTGGACGTCAATCACAAGGCGTCTCCATAACGTTGTCGGAAAACAGAAACCTATAAGGGCACGTGCCTATGGAATGTTATGGAAACGCCTTGATTGACGTCCATTAAAGGCTTCTTCGTCGCATCAGAAACAATCGCTAAAACGGCGCGTGTGATTGAGAATGGCTGTAATTTAAGTGGTCTTTTCTTATAGGGACGCATTCTGAAGACCATTTCCATAAAGGATCCGACGACGAATCTAAACTTGGCGCAACAATCAAACGGGTAAGTCAACAAAATTCATATTTTCTAGATTACGAGGTGTGTTCGACTTATATCTAGTTTTGCAAGGAGCTGAATTCCCCTAGACTGGTTAACATTATATTTTGGGGAAACTTGTTGATGAATCATTTGTGATGCCAAAAAGTTTAGGATCCAGGAAAGCAATAGATCTTATTTGTGGTGATGCTGTTTTTTTCTTATTACAGACCACGTGTCATTTGCAAGAGCATCATTTTTTTGTTTAACAAAGAGTCTTAGGCCCCGTCCACACGTATTCGGAAATTTTTGTACCCGCAAAAATTTTTTGCGGATGCGAAAATGTTTGCGTCCACACGCAGCGTATTCGAATCGTTTTCACCGTCCACACGTGTCCGTTTTCGTAGAATTTGCGGATACGGTCACAAAAATTTGAGGACATGTGTGGACGCAACCTGTATACGTAAAAAAATTGCGGATACGAAAATTTTCGGATACGTGTGGACGGGGCCTTATTCTCAAGGAAATGACACGTGGTCTGAAATGGGAAAACATTCAGCTCCACGTACAACGAATTAGATCTATTAATTTAACTGACGCCCGCTTGAGTTAGGGCTCTGGCTCTGAGGAGGGCACCATGCCCGGAATAGCATCCTTAGTGAGTCTTAAACCTTCACCTTACACTGTGGGTTAGAAGCCAGAAAGACGAGGCTGCTATTAAGCAGTCCTTGTGCAAACTAAAGAAAGAATTTTTTCTGACAGCAGCTCACACGAAACGTCAGCCTAAATCTAGAAGTATTGATTTTTCTTTAAAACTCAAGACAAATTGATATAATTTCTTGATTACGTATAATACTTATTCCATTATTCTGTATTTTAAATAAAGTTAAGACGCTCAGTTGTGGATATGGAGGAGAAATATCGGTCTTACCTTACAACTGACGAGACACGATACAACGAGGTTCTTTTTGTCGTGGACAATGAAATCGTAAGTAAAAAGTGCTATGAAAATATGATTCGCGAGCTTTTAGTCTTCTCTTAACATGACGATGAAGTTACAATCCTTTTTGTTGATTTAAATTGACTTTCGTACCCAAAAGTCTGAATGATAATTTAAATGATGAGGATAATGATAATGGTTATGATGATGATGATGGTTATGATGACGAAGATGCATGGTAAATGTGATGGTGATGATGATGAGAACGACAGTGATGATGATAATGATGACGAGAGCGACAATGATAATGAGAACGACGACGATGATAATGATAACATTGATGAAAAAAATATCATATCAATAATGTTTTCTTTTTTCGTGATTTTAGTATCAAAGGTATCAAAACGACACAAAAACCGTGATTGATAAAGTTCTCACTCTTTGCAACGCAGTTGACGCAGTAAGTACACCGACAATTTGAGATTCCTAAAGAGGAATTCCCGGAAAGTAGATGGATTTGGGCCCGGTTGTGCGGAGGGCAAATAGCGCTATCCTAAGGATAAATCTTATCCAGTGGATAAATCTATTGGATAACAGCATCAACTTATGCACTGGATAAGGTTTTATCCGTCGGATAGCGCTATCCACTCTTCGTACAACCGAGCCCTGACAAGATTATAATGCTACGGGTTTGCCCTCCAACTTTAAAACCGCATCGATAATATACTACAAGGGGTTTGTAGTGGTCAAACGCATCAACATTATCAGTTGTCTGGAAATATATTTGTTAAAGCGGTAAAAAGTTGCAAAAAAAAATCTAAATCTGTAAAGCTTTAGCTGTTGTTTCACAGCGTGAGACAATCACAACAGAGGTAAGCTCCAACTAGGTGAAACCCCAAAGATCGAATTCGAATCTAGAAATTATTTTTTGAGGAGGGCAAAAAACCGTAGGAACCGGAGAAAGACCTTGAAGCACAGGAGAAACCAACGAATAACCCTACTCACATAAAACACCGATAACGCCGGGCAGTTTTATAGTTTGCGTGGAATGTTTCTGTTGCAGATTTACCAACGCATCAATGTCAGGATTGTTATGACAGCCATCGAAATTTGGACCAACGGTGATCGCATTGAACGTCAAACATCTGGCGGTGCAGAATTAGGAAAGTTTCAAGAGTATCGACAAAGAGAACTAATTGGTAAAATACCTCATGACAATGGGCAGTTTCTTAGCAGTCATGGATGGAGTGGTGGAGTTATTGGAATGGCATGGGTCGGAACAATGTGTAACAGATTATCAGCTGGTGTTAACACGGTAAGTATCTCAATCAAACGGAACACATTAACTATTGGACCTTTAGCAAGACGTTCTTGCTAGGTACTGAAACCTCAAACTGCAGTTCGACGTCAGGCGTTTTCCTTCAAACCGTCATTTAGCAAACCGCCATAACGAAGTTATTGCTGGAAGATCCGCCATATTGAATTTCATTGATGCTGACGAGGCTAGCACTTAATAGTCAGTAGCCAACAAACATGTGGCCCTCATTTCAACATAGAATTGGAATTTAGTTAAAAGCCGTATGGAAATGGAGGAAAAAATGAAGTGAAAAACCTTCGAAGCATAGAAATGAACCAACCAACAACTATAGTCGATGGCGGGGAGTCCGTAGATCGAACCATGACCACAGCGCTGTGTCCTTAACTGATCCTGAATATGAAGCTTTTTCAAAAACGTTGTCATCGCCAAAGGCGACAGGGGACACGTCATTCCGAGACGGAAATGGTTTCGTCGACTACAAACAACAGAAGCTTAAGGTTCCATGTTCTTGACGAGAATGAAAAGCAAAAACACAAATCATTCCAGAAATTCTTGAATCTTCTATTGCGTTTCGCCTATTGCCTATCGCCTGTGGCGATGACAACGTCTTTTGAAATAGGTTCGTAGTATAAGAATAAAAAATGCACTAAGAAAACGTAAAGTACTCTACAAACTGTGTAACGAACTTAAAAACGTCTGCATAGGTTCGGGTCCTTTATTTTGATTGCCTAGTGTAATATATTGTGAATCAAGTTCTTTCTTTTGTAACTTTGTCGTTTTTATTCAAATTACTCCAGTGGTCTTTTGGAAGCGTTATTGGGCCATATGTCACTCTGGCTCATGAAATGGGTCACAACTTCGGATATGGTCATGATTCAGGTTTGTTAAGTTAAGCAAAATCTAACCTAAGTCCTACAAGATGTTTTCGTTATTTGAAGTTGTTTTATAAATAAGTAAAGAACGTCGCTTTTTTATTGTCGATATTTATTTTCGTTGCAAAGATATTCAAAGTGAAAATTCAAAATGATGACGAGGGACCATTACAGTGAGGAATGGTAAACACCTCGATTAATTTGCAGGTTATTCAGTTGGAATTTCTACTATTTCATTCAAATTCTCTAAAATGAAGAATTAAGTTCAAATACACCAAATAATCAAAATAAACCTTATTTCCAATCAAATGGACTACTTCAACGATACGGCGGCCATCTTGCCAGGGGGCAAAACAAAACAAACATGACGGAAAATATATAGAGTTTCGTGTGTTTGTCTTTCTTTTATGGGTGAAGGTGATCGATATGCCGCCTTAATTAATCTTTGTTGTATTGTCTTGTGGTAAGCTGTTGATATCAATCAACGTCTTGCTGTAACAAAACTTTATTTGCCTCTATACGCCCCATAATACTTTGCGATCCAAGATGGCCGTCGAAGTTGTCCATTGGCTCAAGGGAAGATTAATAGTACGCATTTTCAAAAAGTGGCAAAATTGTTCTCACGGTTCGAGTGTCCTCATTGTAAAGAGTTCAATTCATAAAATGAAAATAATAATTCTCACTGAAAATTTTTCTAAATATCGTGAATTGTACTTTGGAACTTCATCTATACAATTATTGATTTTGAAGTTAAATTTTTATACCTTAGGATATTGCAAATGCCTAACACCAAGAGGATGCTTCATGGGTGGACATAAGTAAGTATTAATATATATTTAGGCACTGCCTAAAAGCGGAGCTCCCAATAGCAGAGGGAGCCCAATTTAGATAAAACTGAAAGATGAAAATAAAATCCATCGGGCAAAAAATCTTCAATTTTTTCTCTCCATCGAGATGAAAACAATGTCCCCATAAGGGAAGCCATGAAATGAAAAAATGAAACGGAAATGCACTACATCGTTTTCTTCGCACGAGTCTTTGTTTTCGACCTTAGTACTCTCCCACTTAGGAATTTTGTCACATGTACACAACCCATCACCGTCCACCCCAGGGGCTAGTTTTGTTCTTGAAAAATTCTTCGACAAAGTTTTCCATGGCCGACATTTTTACGCTTTGAATTCCTTGTTAATTTTACTTGAAAAACGAAAAATAAGTACAGATAATCCAACAAAATGTCAAGTTTAGTGAAATTTACCTTTGGCATTTGTAGATGTTTTTGAATATTTAGTAGCTTTTTAAAGTGAAAGACAAGGTCTTCATACAATAACATCTTTCAACGATACAAACTCCAGAACTCATTTGTATAATCATACTAGCTCGAAATAATGAACAGTTTAATATTTGGTGCAATTTTATATTTCATTCAATAATTAAATAAATTATCGATAGAAAGATATAAAATTATTGAATGAAAGTCTTCTTATGCTTGCTGATGGGAGTAGTATAGGGGATGGGGGTTCCAGCGCAACGACCACCGGAGGATTACCCGTCTAAAGTACCCCCCTCGATTCGTACCGCGATTACCCGCATCCCGTGTTTATGTAGTTAAATATGTTAGTCTATATATGGAGTGCGAAGATTGTAAGAGAACTTTTAAGAAAGAAG